ATTAAAGTATCCAGCACAACTACCAAGCCTGTTCTTGAGTTTTGAACATAGTCCTCTAATCTACAAGCTTACCAAATTCCAAAGATTTGATCATAAGCCATTTGTGGGAGACAGGTTCTCCTCCATGGCAAGATTTGTGCACACGAGAGTTGGGGTCTCAGAGCGGTCTACAAACCTTTTTTCTCTTGTGCTTTACCTTAAACAGCAACACAGTATCCCCCTTATCCAAAGAGGGGTGCAGCCCAAGACTTCTTATGAACATCTGAAACCACAGACAGTACCAGACTGGGCAGGCCCTGTCTTCACTAAGCATCGTCACCATAAGAGAGTCATAATTATAAGAAAATGGAACATTTGTAACCACATAGTATAATTAAAAAAATTTTTTTTGAAACAGGATCTCACTACATAGCCCTGGTCAGCCTAAACTCACAGAGATTTGCCTGCTTCTGCCCCCCCGCCTCAGTGCTGAGACTAAAGGTGTGCACCACCATGTCTGACCTGTGTAATAAAAATCACATGACGTTCCTATTTTCACTTACATACAGTACTTTGGAGTCTCTTTGGCATAACTAAGTTTCCAACTTCACTATTCATGTACTTGGGGACTTTATTTACTCAAACAAACACCGCAGTACTGAGACCATCGTTCTGATCATCCAAACAGCTGCTGCAAGGTTAACAGGCAGGTGGGACACGCAGCAGGGATGTGCTGACCAAGGCATGGATCCAGACATCACACTGCTCACAACAGAACACAAGTTAGAACTGCTGGAATTCAACACCCAAAACGTGTGTGCCGAGGTCAACCACGGTCACTGGAATCACGCAAAGTAAATCCATGGGGGCCAGTGAGATGACTGGGTGGGTGAAGGCACGTGCCACTGAGCTGACAGCCCGAGTTCCACATCCTCAGGGTCCACTTGCTGGAAGGACAGAACTGACTCCCCACCGACAAGTTGTTCTCTGACCTCCACATGGGTGCTGTGCATGTGTGCCCCCCACCAGACACAAAGAAATAAACAGATGGAATAAAAATGTACCAAAAGGAGCGCTCTCTGCTTCCTGTGTCCTGCTTGAAGATGTGCTGGCTTGGCTTTCTGCTCCAGTTGCCTCCTGCCGCCACACCCCCTTCCTCATTATGGACTCTCCCTGGAACCACGGTTATTTCTTGGCAAAGAGTTCTCGGGACTTCTACTTGACAAGCAGCCTAACTACATTGACAAGTCTTGCCACGTTCACATCTATCCTGCAGGAAACTCAGTTCCTTCTACACAGCTGAGATTTCAGCGAGTGCATGGAATCTCCAAGGGACCAAGCGAGCTGAAACCAAGAGCAATCACACCAGGGAGAGGTGCGTGCCCTGGGTGCAAATGTCCATAAACATAAAGGAGGCAAGATGAGCTTTGCAAAACTAGACTTTGAAGGGCTGGAGAGATGGCGCTGCGCCTGAGTACATAGTGTTCTTGCAGAGGACCAGAGTTCCATTCCGAGCCCAGAGACGCCAGCTCACAACCCCTATAACAACAGCTCCAGGAGGATCTGCTACCTCTGGCCTCAGAGGACATCTATATGCATGTGCACAACCCATACACAAGCCCACACACAGACACATAATTAAAAATTAAAAATAAATCTTTAAAAAGAAGAAAATGCATAGAAAGGAAGTAAAGCAATGATTGAAGGAGACAGACTAGCAACGCTGTAGAGACATGAAAGCCGTGTGTCTGAGGACAAGCCTGCCTAGGTTCCCTTTGGGGATGCCAGGAACTGAAAGGCTCCATTTCTGGCAATGAAAGTAGAGGCTGTGCTTGTTCAGACACACTGAGGGTCACGGTATAGATTGTGTGGCACAGAGCGTCTGTGCTGAAGGTCAAGACCAAGAGCACAAAAGGTCAGAAATGGGTACAACCGCTGTCTATGCTGGGAGGAAAGCCGGAGAGCTAGGTAAGCAGCAGGGTTGGGTGCAGGGTGTGCTCTGACCATGGGCAGATGCTTCTCCTCTCTCCCCATCTCCTCTTTTCATCCCCCCTGGAAGGCTCTGTGGGAAAGGACTGAGAGGGAAGGGGTGCAGCGGAGCAGGAGGGAAGGACGGGACTAGGGAGGGGGCTTATTCTTCCACGGGCCTGCCAAGCAAGTGCAGGGGTCCTTCGGATCCCCAGAACCCACACAAAAGCTGGACAGAGTGCCATGCCTCCGTAACCCCAGTACTGGGGGGCAGGGCGGAGGCAGATGAGAGGTACAGTGTGGACACAGGCAGCCAGCCTAGCTGAATTCATGAGCTCTGGGTTCAATGAAAGGCCCTGCCTCAAAAATAAAGATGGAGAGGGCTGGAGAGATGGCTCAGCAGTTAAGAGCACTGACTGCTCTTGGAGAGGACCTGGGTTTGATTCCCAGCACCCATATGGTGGCTAACGACCATCTGAAAACTCCAATTCCAGGGGATCTGACACCCTCTTCTGACCTCCTTGGGCATTACATGACATGGGTGCACTTACACACACACATGCAGTCATACACTCATACACACAAAATAAAAATAATAAAATATTGAATAAAAATAAAGGTGGAGCCAGGCATGGTAGCACGTGCCTTTGATCCCAGCACTCGGGAGGCAGAGGCAGGTGGATTTCTGTGAGTTCAAGGCCAACCTGGTCTACATAGTGAGTTCCAGGCCAGCTGGGGCTATAGGAAGACCCTGTCTCAAAAAGACAAACAAACAAATAAATGTGAAGACTGAAGACACCAGACATTGATCGATCTCTGGTCACCACATTGCACACACATGTGCACACACATACACACACACATAAAAAACAGAAACCAGAACATTGAGCTTGTGGCTTACGCATAGGCCTAAAGTAAGGAGAAAATGATGGTCACTGCCAAAGTAGACACAACTAGCAAGTCAGTAACTAGTGTCTGTTCTGCTACTGAAGGTATCTTTAAAAGAAAATGGTTTTACTGTTTTGGTTTTGTTTGCTTGATTTGAGTTGGGATTTTTATGTTGATTTTATGAGTTAGGATCTCATTTAACCCCAACTGGCCTCAGTCTAACGATGTAGCTGAGGATGACCTCGATGACTCCTGATGCTCCTGCCTCAGCCTTCTGAGTGCTGGGATCACATGTGTGCAACGTCACGCCTGGCACGGAAAAGGTATTTTCAATGACTCTGTTTCATGCCTGTTGTACTTTACTAGGAGCAATGGCCTCATCAAGATACTGGAGACCAGAGGCAGCGCAGCCCAGCCTCACTTGGGAACTCACAGCTCTGCACACAGCCTGTGCTATTGCTGATTCATGCCAGGAGGCCTTCTTCAAACAGGTGTGTGCCCTCGAGACAGAATCATGTCCGCATCTAATTCACTAATCCCGACTTTCTGCTGAGTCCAGCCCCCACCGCTGCCCATTCTTCAGCTGTCACATGAGCACAACCTGGGACATGTGTACCATTGTCTACTGTAAGCCGTGAGGCTGCTTTCGTGGATAATCAACTTGACATGCATTGAAAACCAAAAGACAAGTAAAAATATGATTTTAAACAAGACCTGGAAACTGCACCTCTTGTGTAAATCACTTGAACAGTGACTTTAACCTCACATGCTGCAGTTTAACTGCAAGTATTGCACAATTAGTATTTTCTGTAAGGGACCTCATTGGCCTTGTGTGAGTATACAAAATGAGACAGGAAGTGGGGAGAGGATAAGAGAGGCTCTCTGGGGTTTGGACTCTGGGCCTCATGGCTTTTCTACATCGCCAGTACCCATTTCTTCTTCCTAAGTGGGAAGAGGGTTCCCTGGGCTGGAGGGTAGGGTCCAGTCGAACTGCAGCTGTCCCCGCCTCACTGAAACACTTCATGCTACTGTCTTGCCTTTGTTTTTAACTGATTGCTTCACCCACAGACCAAGAAATGAACCCTAAGATTACTACAGGTTCCAGCAGGCTTTCATAAGCAGTATAGATGGTGGTGCTCTGGTTACATAGCTCACCAGAGGAACCTTCACTCTTCCTGTGAGGGTGTGCTGACTATACACAATAGAAAGTTAATGAAGTCAAGGTGGACGTGGTTTTCTGACACCCCAGCAAGTCCAACATGTGACTGCCTGTCCTGGAGAGCCTCAGGCAGCAGTGTGCCTGCTTCAAACACTGAGCTATCAGGAGCAAGAGAGGATTAGCTGTGAACTTTTAAAAAATCCTTTTTAATTTTTTATGTGTATGAGTGTTTTGTCTACATGTATGTATAGGCACCATGTGTGTGCAGAGCCTGTGGAGGCCAGAAGAGGGCATCAGAACCCCTGAAACAGGAGTCACAGACCATTGTAAGCTGCCATGTGAGTGTTGGAAATCGAACCCTGGTCCTGTACAAGAGCAGCAAGTGCTCTTAACCCCTGGGCCATCTCTGCAGACACTCATCACAGACTTCAAGCAGAGATTGATCTAACAGTATTCAGTCTTCCCACACTGAACAGGGAGATTTTGTGGAACTCTCAGCTAGAGAATATACAAAGGGAGAAAACAGGAAAATAAGAACAAATTGCAGGGCTGGAGATGGCTCAGCAGTTAAGAGCACTGGCTGCTCTTACAGAGGACCTGGATTCGATTCCCAGAACCCATATGGCAGCTAACAACTGTTCGTACACCCATCTGACACTCTGTTGAGGGGATCTGACACCCTCTTCTGACCTCCTCGGGCACTGCACGACACAGGTGCACTTACATGCAGGGATATGCTCATATACATAAAATTAAAATAATAAAATATTTTTAAAAGAACGTGTTTCAGCTAGTCCTACATACCTGTGGACTTATACTCAATCAATCTCTTCATTTCCAAAAATGGCCCCCACACAAAGGATCCCCTAATCCTTAAAACATGTAGTGCCCAATTTATACACAATTAAGAACTCAAATCATTAGAATGTTGCTCATATCTCAGACTTACTATTTAAAAAAACTAAAATGGCATTTATTTAAACTTCCAAAAGAGATTTTGCATTACCTCAGTATTAACAACTTCCACTGGTCTTTTCTTGATTTCTCCTATGTCCAAGTAACTGGAGGGAAAAAAAAAAAATAAGGGTTGCTTTTGCAGGTTTGAAGTCAGATACATAAAAACTTTAAGCATTATTAAAAAGTAAAGCCAATCATAGGAAGTGTGTAAATCTGAAGCAGAAATTGGTAGGTATCAGAGGAGCAAGAACCTAGGTGGTTAGGCCTCACCAACCAGAGCTGAGTCAGCCGCCTGGACCTCAAGGGGATTGAAGTCTTGGAAATACACACCAGTTAGAAAGCATTTCTTCCCTTACAAGTAGTCGCTTGCTCTATAGCGCCTCCGCCTCCTCCCCCTCCCCCTCCCCCTCCCCCTCTCTCTCTCCAGGGTTTTATATATCCCAGGCTGGCTTTGAACTCACTATGCAGCCGAGGATGACCTTGAACTTACAATCATTGTGCTTTCTGCTTCTACCTCCCTAGCGCTGGGATTACAGGCTTTGTGTAGTGCTGGGGATTGAACCTGGGCCTTTGGGTACATTGGGAACATTATATAAGCACTCTACAGATTGACCTGCATCCCAGCTATGTAATGTAACTCTGTTTGTTCTGTGACTTCTGTAAATGGCTCATTTGTAAAAGAGCTTAGTGATTCCACTGGTCACAGGTGTTAGGTCAAAAGGAAACCGTGAAAACCTGCAGTACAGTAAGGCCTAGGAAAGGCTGAGTTTCGTTTCCCCAGTGATACAGACGTGCCCAGCCATGTGGGACAGCTTGGGCACTGGCTCAGCTTGCGCACAGATGGGTATGCTACTTAACCTCTGAGACCTTATTAGCCCCTGCCATTTATTACACATACTAACTAGTGATCATTCATTAGCTGTTGCATAACATATGAAAATGTGATGTCTTTGCCAATTTCTAGGGATTAACCCATCATTGTGACCTGCTTCCAGTTTTAAATGGTCCCTAAACTGTGCTATACACAAACGTAATTTTTAAATATACATGTATAAACCTAATTTAAATGCTATTTATAATCTAGTATCTAATTTGTAACCATGAATTGAGACAAAGATAGGTCTATTATATCAACTGCTACAGTTGACAAGATGTCACCAAAAATAGTTTACATTTTGGAATTAACTTTGGCATTCATTATGTCTGATGCTGTCTGATTTTTTGGAGAGAATGTGTTAGTTAATCAATATGAAAACTAGACTACATCTACCTGTGTAAACAGAAGTTCCATGAGACAGTGCAAACAACTGACGGCAGCAATGAAGTGGGTCTTTGGTGAATTTACTGGAGGTATTTCTAGACTAATCTAAAATATTCTGCCATGTGCAGGGATGTCTTCTGTTTTAAGTTCTAAGTATCTCTGACCTAACAGATTAACAGAGGTTAGAGAAGAACAAAAATATGTCAGAAGTTTGTTTTAAGTGTGTGTGTGTGTGTGTTTGGTCATGTGAAGGCTACAGCACATATGTGGAGGTCAGAGGACAACTTTGTGAAGTCAGTTCTCTCCTTCCACCTCTACACGGGTTCCAGGAATCAAACTCGGGTCTTCACAGGCTTGCACAGAAAGTACCTTTACCCACCGAGACATCTTGTTGGTCCCCCAAGAAAAGTTTTGCAAAAATACTCCCTAAAGGTTTCTGCTGTAAATGAGTTTAAAAGCTACCTGAACTCTAAAGATGTTTCAAAACTATTAGAAATATCTAAGTGAAAGGAAAATCTGTAGGAATTTAATCACTTCTATTTGAAAAATATTTTGCTTTCTTCCCCAACATCATTCAGGGTCAAAGTTTTTGTAAAGATTTGTGAAAACCCACAAATGATCCTCAACACTTTTTAGACTCTCTTTTATTTGGTCAGTTGCTTCATGTGTTATACAAACATACAGTTCTAAGCCTCAAACACAGTCAACACTTAAAACTTACCATCAATCGTTAGAACCATCGTACTGCTACCCAAAGACAAATATGATAAACTAGTCATTTGTCAGCACAGAACACTAATCACAGGCACCGCACTAACAAACTCAATTTTTGTGTATGTGTGAATTAAAAGAATAAATAACCCTACAAATATCTGTATACAGATAAGAAGTGGTTTGAAGAGCATGTTGTACCTGGCTTGGAGTGGTACCTTTTCATCCTGTGAGTTCATACCATGAAGGACTAAAGTGAGTCCACACCTTTCAGCTGCTCAAAGATTCTGAACCAGATCTCCATTCCCATAAAATTAAGTAAATTTTTTTTCTTGGTTTGTTGCTGTTGTTCTTCAAGACAGATGTTCAAAGTCCAGGCTGGCCTTAAACCCCCTAATCCTCCTGCCTCAGCCTCCCAACTGCTAGGACTGCAGGCATGTCCCACTACACATAGCTATGGAAATTATTTAATTTTTATATATATAAAACTGTATATACACTGTACATACAGATGCCTTACACTTATGAAATATGGTAGTATTTATGAAACACATTCATGTCCATAGGTTTTACTTTTTTTACACAGGGTCTCAAGTGTCCCAGGCTGGCCTCAAACTTTCTGTGTGGCAGAGGATGACTTTGAAGTTATGAACCCCTGCCTCTATCTCCTGAATGCTCAGATTACAAATGTGAGACAACACTTCTAGCTTTATGGGGTTCTGGGCATCGAACTCGGGACTTTGTGCATGCTAGGCAAACAGCCAACTGACCTACATCCCCAGCTCCCCCACACACCATATTTACCTTACACGAGAAACTGAGTGGCCGAGTCCAATGACTTGCCCAAAGACTCAGCCAAAAGAAGCTAGCTAAGTCTATGTCCTCTATCTGAAGTTCTGAGTCTCTGGAGACAGATGCAGGAAATCGGGAGTTCAAGGTCTTCCTTGGCTACATACTGAGTTCAAGACCAACCTGGACTACATGAGACTGTCTCAAAGAAACAAAAAATAATAATAATAATTCTAAATTTCTTTCATTGAGCTTTTTTCTCTAGACTTAAAGTATATTTAAGATAAACTCAGATGTAGCCAGCACCCTCATAAGAACGCCTAGTACAACAGAGAACTCAAGGGCAACATCGGACACTGCCAGTGGTGTTTGAAAAGAAATGTTTCTATACAATTAGAAACATATCATAGGCAGTATATTTATGTAAAGTCTTTTTTTAATTTTTGCCACCCTGGGGCCCAAGATAAGTTTTAATTAAAACTTTGTTTAAAAACCACAGAATTGGGGTTAGATAGATCAGCTGTTAAGAGCACTGACTGCTCTTGCAAAGGACCCAAGTCCAATTCCCAGAACCCACGTGGTGGCTAACAACCATCCATAACTCCAGTTTCAGAGTATCCAATACCCTCTTCCAACCCCCATGGGTATTTCATGACATGGGTGCATTTACATACATGCAGACAATACACTCCTATACATAAATTAAAATGAAAATAGTATTTTTAAAACTGTGCAATATAGAATTACCATATGATTTGGCAATTTCACTTGTAGATACACAGCCAAGAGAGATGAAAACTTGTAAACAAATTTTCACAGCTTTGGTCATAATAACCCCAAAACGAGACGTCAATCATCCATCAGGAGCTTAATGGATTAGGGAGATGTTACATCCATGTTATGGAATATTATTCATCACTGACAGATGCCACACAGTGACAGAAGCTTGGAAGCACTGTAGTGGGAAAACCAAACAGACATAAAAGCCCGTGCTTACAAATGCTCCACAGATACAGGAAGTAGATTAGTGACCATCCCATGACAGAAGGAAGAGGGAGTTAGGAGGTGTCTGTTTCTTTAGGGAGGTGAGGAATGTAGTGATGATTCACAACTCTGGGAATCACTGAAATGAATTTATATTATTAAAGTATGTATCAGTAAAACCTTAAAATACACACATAACTTTAAAATTTACCAAACCTATGATGTCCCCTCTTGCCAAGCCCCAGCTGAAAACTCCCACATAAACGTAACTGCTTTTCTAACTACACCTGTCCATTTATGATTTCTATTAAAATTACTAGTGTGAGGTTTGAGTCCGGTTAGATCCAAAGTCCCCAAAGACGAGGGGTAGGTCTGTTCCTCTTAGTTCACTCCAAAGACCTTAAACTCTGTTGCTAAGGGGCAGACTGTGAGGGAGCTCCCTGCAGGGACCTGAGGCAAGTGGCCCGTGGGTTCCTGGAGACAGACACGTGCACAAATTCAGTAAGTCAAAGAACTTTTCCAAGCATTCTTGGAGGAGGGCAGCCAGCTAAGCTGTCTGTATTCTACCGGTGATAAAGGAACATACCCAGTGCCCAGGGAAGACTGAGCGGCTTCCCTTCCGCTGAGAACAGAGCATGCAGCACCTTACAAAATCCTTATTTAAGCTAAAGGCGGTGGACTCTAAGAACAAACACGAGCCCGTAATCCCACTCTTGGGAGGTGGAAGCAGGAATCCAGGGTCATCCTCAGCTGCCCATGAGCGCGAAGCCAGTGTGAGCTACAAGAGACCCTGTCAACTAGAAACAGAAAAAACCAAAACGGGCAAGCAAGGCTGTAAGAAAGAATGAAGAAAAAAGGAACTGCCAAACAGACCACGCGGAAGCGTCCACTTGGTTGTTAACCTTGCAAAGGAGAGTATTTTCTTTAAGGAATCCCATTCTAGGCATATTGGCTCACGCCTTAATTCCAGCGCTTGGGGGACTGAGGCAGGAGGACTGCCAAGAGTTCAAGGCTAGCCTGATCTACATATTGAGTTTCAGGCCAGCCTGGGCTACAGAGACCCTGCCTCAAAACTAAAAGGACAACAAAATCCCGTTGCTTCTCCGTGGTTTGGCCACTTTTAAATCTGCACCCGCGGCCAGGGAGTGAAATCCCTTCTCCAGTTTCACGCTGCGCCCGCGAGGCCGCTGGGTGCCCGGCACAGTCGGAACCCCGCACCGAGGGCGCACCGCCCACTCACTTGAGTTTCTTGAAGGCTTCCCGGCCGCCCGCCACGTAGTTGCCCCCGCTCTCGATCTGGTCCAGCTTCCGGATGCGGTGGCCGGTCCTGGGCGTGTAGATGTTCCTGACCGCCCCAAAGGGCGCCTGCACGCCGCCCGTCACCTCCTTGAGGAAGACGTCGAAGCTGGTCACCTTCTTCTCGTGGATGACCACGCGGCGCCCCGCGAAGAAGGGGTCCCCGTTGCGGTACACCAGCACGCTCTTCACCACCGGCTGCGACAGGTGGCTGGACCGCGCGCCGGGGCCGCTCATCCTCCCGGTCCGCTCCGGCCGGCCGCCTCCTGCACCAAGGAGAGGACCCGGTGAAGGGACCGCCCCGCGCCGGTCCAGCCCCAGACCTCGGTCAAAGCCCGGGAAGGTCGAGCGCTGCACCTCCGCGCGCTCGGCCAATCAACGCTCGCGGGCGCACCCGCCCCACCTGCGCCGGCGTCCAGGTGCGCGCGGCTTCACACCCTGCGGAGCACCGGGGAGGGAGCTGGGCGCTGGCGCACACACGCAGACGCTCAAGAGCGCACATACATACGCACCAAAGTGCGCACACTCGAGTGCACACGTGCACGCACACACGCACACGTGTTCAGGAGCGCACATACACACGCACATATATGCGTACACTCAAGCGCACACATGCACGTACACTCCAGCGCGCACACGTCATTCACTCATCCCCTCCGCAGCGTCCTTTCCCCTGGTCTCCACGCCCTCATCTCCAGCTCTCATTTACTCCCGCGATAAAGCCGCTCAGGTCCCAGCGGGACCCCAAAGGCAGGTGGGCGAGGTGGGCGTGGCGGCGCACGCGGGCATCACAGCCCTGGAGAGGCTGAGGCAGGAGGACTGCGTCGAGTTCCAGGCCAGCCTGGGCTTGGCAGTGGGTTCCAGGCCAGCCTGGGCTTCGCAGTGCGTTCCAGGCCAGCCTGGGCTTCGCAGTGCGTTCCAGGCCAGCCTGGGCTTCCGAGACCCTGCCTCGGAAAACTAAAGAAATAAGTAGTAAATTAAATTAAGTGCACCGAGAGAGGCTCCCGAGGCTGGGCCGCCTACTAGCCAGCGCCGCCCGGCGGGTGTCCAGGGAACGGAGGACAACCCTGGGCTGGGGAGCCGCGGGCTGGGGCGCCGGGCACCTACCCACAGTGGCGGGCGCAGGGGCGAGGCGAGGCGCGGCGGGCGGGGCGGGGTTCAAGTGCGGCCGGTGGCCCCGGGCGGCCACGCGTCGCTAGCGCCGGTCCTCCCGCCGCCGTTAGTTTCCTCTGTGGGACTCGTTCTGTCCCCTGGGAGCCCAGTTTGTTTTTTCTCGCTGTTTCCAGAGCAACCGCACCCTCGCAAGGGGGAACTAGCGGGGGAACCGGGCCTGGAGCGCGCCGAGGCAGGAGGAGGTCGGGGAGGAGGGGCACGTCCGGTGCCTCTGGTGCACGGGTCCCTGTGTGCAGGCGCTGTGCCAGGGGACCGGGCACGGACGGAAGGCCACACCTGCTGTAGAGTGCTACCCTGCGCCCAGGCATGCAGGAGGGGTCTTCACAGGACGGCAAAATGGCTTGCTGGGCCCAGGAGCTCACCCCCTGCCGTTTGCGGAGATTATTAGATCAGTCTGGATGGGGAGTCGAGATTTTAGAATATCAAGAATTTAAGTGAGGCCGCACGTGCTGGCTCAGGCCTGTGATCCCAGCACTGGGGACGCTGGAAGCAGGGTATCACCACAAGTTCCGGGCTACCCTGAGCTACAGAGTCAGACCCTGTCTCACAATGAAAAAAAAAAATCAAAACAAAACTCAGAACAGCCATTTTGCCATTTTGCCCTGTCCAGTTTGGAAGGGAGAATGGACGGGAGGGAGGGAGGGAAGGAGGGGGGGAGGAGAGAGAGAGAGAGAGAGAGAGAGATTCCGTTAAACCAAACCACTGTTCCCTTACACCTGTGGAGTGTGTCCACATTTTATAAGCATGTGGTTTGAATAGGAAATATGCCCTATAGACTCGTGTGTTTGAAGACTTGGTCTCCAGCCAGAAGAGCATTTGTAGGATGTGGAACTCTTAACAGGTTCAATGAGGTTAGCTGAAATAAATGAGTCACTGGGAGTGGGTTCTGTAGTTGACCTGGCACACTTTCTCTCCAGCCTGCTGCCTGATCCACACAGAAGTGAGCAAGCAGCCGCCCCCAGCTCCTGCCACCATGTTCCCCTTTAACCCTGAACCAAAATAAACTCTCCTCACTTGCTTCATGTTAGGTATTTGTCCACAGCAATGAGAAAAATAGCTAATGGCACCATGTGTTCCTAATTCATATGTGAGTGGAAATAATCTTAAATAACTACTGTGCATTGAACAGTTAACCATGTATGAAGCACTGTGTAAGCCAGCACTCAGGAAGCAGAGGCAGTCAGATGTCTGTGAGTTCAAGGTCAGCCTGGTCTACATAGTGAGTTCCAGGCCAGCTGGGACTACAGGGAGACCCTGTCTCAAAAACATCAAAAAGGAAAGTACTGCATAAGGCATTTTACACACATTATCTAATTTAATGCTCACCATAACCTTCAGAAGCAAATATTACTCTTCTCAGATGTGGAAACAGATGTTCAGAGAGACTACGGAAACTTACCTGAAGTCACTCACACAAAGGCTCGACTTATTACATGAACATGTATGTTTTGTTTCTTTTTGTTTTGTTTTGAGGCCAGGTCTCATGTAGCTCAGGCTGGCTTCAAACTTGCTATGTAACCACAGATGACCTTAAACTTCTGATCTTCTTGCCTCAATCTCATGAGTACTGCGTTATAGACATGTATCACCATGCTTGGTTCGTGGGGTGCTGAGAATTGAGCCCAGGGCTTCATGCATGCTAAGAAAGCACTACCAAATGAGCTGCATCTCCATTTTTAAAAACATTTTTATTTTATGTGTTCGAGTGTATTGCCTGCATGTATGTGAGTGCACCCATGTTATGCAATGCCACAGAGGTCAGAAGAGGGCTTCGGATTCCCCTGGAACTGGAGTTAAGGACGGTTTGTAGCCGCCATGTGGGTGCTGGGAATCAAACCCAGGTCCTCTGCAAGAGCAGTCAGTGCTCTTAACTGCTGAGCCATCTCTGCAGCCCCAGCATCTCCATTTTTAATGAAGTCATACAACATTGATGCCTTCAAAGTTGGCAGCTTTCAAAGGGTCAATGAGAAAAGAATAAAAGATTGAGCAGAGGAGGGAAATTGTGGCTGTGTAAATACACAGGTAGAGGATCTGTGGGAAAAGTATCTGTGAAATGTAAGCTAAGCAGCCATAGCACGGACAACACAAAGCATCCCATGGTCTTGTCCAACCCAGTACAGAGTGAAACTCAAGAAGGTAGCCACAGAGCACTACACCAAGCCCAGGGTACTTCTGAGTATGGGACTGTGTCACCAGTCTATGGAGCCACCCACATCTGTATTTGATGGCTCTCATGATGGCATCCCCAGCCCAGATTTATCTCCTGGGAAGTTTCCTGGACATGATATGGTAAGATCAAAGCCAACCTACACTTTCAGTTCCCTGGAACTGAATAAAAAGGGGACGAGGAAGGGGCTGGAGAGATGCTCAGCAGTGAGAACACTAGCTGCTCTTACAGAAGACCTGGGTTCAGTCCTCAGCACCCACATGATGGCTCACGGCCACCTGTAACTCCAGTTCCAGAATACCCCACACCCGCTTCTGGCCTTTGTGGGTATTGTATGCACACAGTACACGTAAACTCAGGCACAAACACATAAAAATTTTTAATCTTTTTTTTTTTTTTAAAGAAGAGGGTTCTGGTGGAGAGATGGCTCAGCAGTTAAGAACGCTGACTGTTTTTGCAGAAGACCCGGGTTCAAATCCCAGCACCCACATGGCAGCTAACAACTGTCCATAACTCCAGTTCCAGGGGATCCAACAACCTCTCTGTCCTCCACAGGCATCACACGACACGGGTGCACTTACATGCAGGCATAATACTCATACGCATAAAATAAAAATAATTTAAAAAACACTTTTAAAAAGAGAGTTTTGTTTTGAATTTCTCCTAATTATGGCATAGACCACAGAGAAACACTGCTTACTGGCTTGCTCCCCTGGTCCCTGCTCAACCTGCCTTCTTATACAACACAGGCCCACCTGCCCAGGGGTGGCACCACCCACAGTGGACTGGACCCTCTCACATCACTCAACAATCAAGAGGATGCCCCTGAGACATGGCCACTGGCCAGTCCAATGGAGGCAATTCCCCGATTGAGGCTCCCTCTACCCAGGTGTGTCAAGGTAACAAAGCTATCCAGCACAGGCTGGTTGTCTTGAGAATAGATAACACAGAAGTGAAACTAAAACAGGCTCACCCTTTAGGGGATGACACCCCGACTTTGGAAAGTAGAAATGGGCCGGAGACAGGTAAATGAATTAAGGAGTATTTAAAAGGTAGAACTGACAAATCTGGTGGCTAAAGAATCCTTATAAACCCACACTGTGATGTGGTTTGCTTACACCGGGCCAGAGAAAAATAAAACGGAAAACACTTGAGAATGAACTCCAGCCCTCAGGAGGTGTCTCTTGAGGGCCTGGTATGACATACGTACATTTATTTATTTATTTATTTTTATTCATTTATTTTTGGGTCAGGGTCTCCCTGTAGCCCCAGCTGGTCTGAAACTCACTATGTAGATCAAGCTGGCCTCGATTTCACAGAGATCCTTCTGTCTCTACCTCCCAAGTTGCTGGGATTAAAGGCATGCGCCACCACACCCAGCATGTTACTACTTTTAATGAACAGTAAAACTTCCTTAAAAATTATTTTAGGCCATCTCGCTCATCTTCGATACCTTTCACCTCCTGCCTCCAGGTTCCTGCCCTGAGTTCCTACCTTGGGCTCCCAGGTGAAGTGTGACTCGGGAGATGTGAACCAAATTAAGCCTTTCCTCCCCAAGTTGGTATTGGTCAGTGCTTTGTCACAGCAATGGAGAGACAAAGGAGGACACAGCCTGAAAGACCTGAAAAACAAATGTGCCCATTTCATCGACCAGCGTAAAACTCTGCAGATGGCCATCCTTCCCTAGGGTGAAATTCAGCACCACCAGCCCGAGTACACTGCCCAGTGACTCTTCGGTTCCTCCCTTGCCTCCACAACACTCCCTGTGGCTCTGCAGACCTAACTGCCCCCATCCTCACCCAGCCTCCATTTATTTAACTCCATCCAATGTGTCAAGTCTCTCCTTAAATATCACTTCCCTGGAAAATCACTCTGTACCAGTCCCCAATCAGTTTGAGCCATAATAGATTAGATATTGCTCCTCCGTAGGCTTGACCAGCTGTAATTATGTCTTTGTGTATGCCCAGCATGGTAAGGACCAAGCAATTATTTCATGAACGAATGGGTGAATGGGAAATATATTTTTTG